TTTATCAGGAGAGATGTTAATTAACATTTGTTGATAAATGATGTATGTTCTGTTAGTGTAAGAAATGTATATTTTTGGAAAATATTTTAAGGAGACTATTGTGAGCTCCTTTTATCTGTGACTTGCCATGATATGTATTTCCTAAAAGTGCTGGTACTAATACACAAGAATAAATTCAAAATGGATTAAAGACTTATATGTAAGTTGCAAAACCATAAACATACTAGAAGAAAACATAGGCAGTAAAATGTCAGACATTTCTCTTAGCAATATTTTTGCAGATTTAGATCCTTGGGCAAGGCAAACAAAGGAACCAATAGACAAATGGGACTACATCAATCTAAAAAACTTTGTGCAGAGTAAAAGAAACCATCAACAAAATGTGAAGTGAGCCCACTGAATGAATGGGAGAACATATTTGCTAATGATACATCTGAAAAGCGATTAATCAACAATGAGGTATCACCTCACAATTGTCAGAATTGCTATCATCAATAAATTAACAAAGTGCTGGCAAGGATGTAGAGAAAAGGGAACTCTTGTGCACTGTTGATGGGAATGCAGATGGGTGCAGCTACTGTGGAAAACAGTATAGTGTTTCCTCAAAAAGTTAAACATTTTTAAATAGAATTAAAAAATTAGACCCAGTAATCCCACTTCTGGGAATATATCCCAAGAAACCCAAAACGCTAATTTGAAAAAATATATGCACCCTCGCCCCTGCTGGTGCAGCTCAGTGGCTTGAGCACCATCCCATGGAGACTAAGAGGTCTCGGGTCTGATTACCAATGAGGGCACATGCCCGAGTTGTAGGCTAGATCCCCAGTAGAGGGTGTGCAGCAGGCAGCTGATTCATGTACCTCTCTCATCAATGTTTCTATCTCCTTCTTTCCTCTTTGAATTCAATAAAAATATTTTAAAAAAATGCACCCTTGTGTGCATTGTAGCATTATTTACAATAGCTAAGATCTGGAAACAGCTCAAGTGCCCATTAGTAGATGAGTGGATAAAAAAGCTGTGGTCCGTTTACACAATGGAATACTTTTTGGCCATAATAAAAAGGAAATCTTGCGTTTTGTGACAGCATGGAAGGATCTGGAAATTATGTTAAGTGTTCT